AATTGTTTCATATTCTGGCTATCAAGTTCTCTGTGCCTTCTGCAAATACAAAATTTTAAAAAAGTGTCAAGAGATAAACTTAAAACTGTGCCCTTCACCATCCTACAGGCACTTCTCTGCTTCATATAACCTAATAGCAGCATGTTGAGATTAAAAGAACTGTGTCTCACAGTAATTTAGCCTAATCCTGTGCCATATTTAGCAAATAGCCACCACCAAATTGAGTGACTCAATTTGGTGGTGGCTATTTGCTAATTGTGGGACAGTGAAATCGAAAATATAATCTGTTAAAATAGTGAAGCAAATAGGGTTCAAAAGTGTGACATCATGAAAAAATAAATTTGTGAAATTATGGGATTTGTCAGGATATTCTGGAAGAACAACATTGAAGAGGCCTACTTGCCAAAAACTAGCATTTCGGGGCAAATTGTCTCTGAGATATTAGCCCAGTTATGCTCCGATGACTCCATACAAATCCCTCTAAATTTGACTCGGTTAGTTGTTACTTAAAAAGTATTAATCAACAAGAAGTTTCACTCCTAACAAGAAGGCCTGAACTGCCATGACACAATCCCTTGAAAGAGGAAAAGATCCCTTGTGGCCACGCAGTCATACCTGTCTCGTTCCTCTTTGCACTCTATTGTTTTATCAAACTGTAATGCTTTAACTGTCTCCATGGACTGTCTTGTCTGTTTTCTTGTCATGTCACTGCTTTCCCTTTCAAAACAAGAAAGCAAGAAAAATGGATCAGCCTTACTTGTTAAGGAACATGAAATGCCATTTCCATGGCACCTGTATCGCAACTAACAAAGTTTCCCCAGTCAGGTTCTCAACTATTTTGTTGAATTCAGAGATTTTGACACAGAGTTGCACTCTTAATCTAAATTATATCAATAATGTTGGTTTCATTTTACAGACTAAGATGCAGACTCAACACTTTGCTAAATGTGCTGCAGATGGAGCAAATTTTAGACTAGAATAACCTATATTTATTTAATTATGCAACAATAAGGTCACCATGATACAGATAAATGAATGGCATTAAAAGTGTCTCCTAGCCCTAATCTCTTAACAAAATGCTCTATTAGATTGAGGGGAATCTTTGTGGTTTGGTAATTTATTGAAGGATCAGTGACCTGTACTTTTGACCTGTGGAATGTGCCCTGTACTTTAGACGCGGTGTAACGGTTCTAGACTAAAGTGACAGCTGATGTCACCTGCCCTGCCAGCAGAGCCATTCTTTCAAGGAGGCTCTCCTCTCTCGCAGGGTGAACAGTTACCAGCTTGAGAAAAATGTGCAAGAAAAGACATAACATAAAATGTTTCTCCTCCTGAGAATTCTTACTTTTCGTGCCTTGATGTAACCTCTTTGTGCTGGCTTTCATGAGCACTTTCCATCACTTTCTTCAGGGTATCCAGTTGCTATTAAGTGCAAGAGAACAAAATTTGACATGTTAAAATGTCAGCACCAAGGATGACACACTCCTTTAGTTACTAACACATTCCACTGTCAGTGTCAGCAGAGAAATATTCCAATTTCATGTTTTCTGGTTAGTTCTTGATAATGGAGTCTGCTGCATAAAATTTAAAATTCAATTTTAGTGCCTAAGTTAGGCAGTGCAACTACCTTTATTCCTGACATTATGACACCCCCTTTAGTACTGTTACCGCTCTGAACCACTCTGTTCGTCCATTTCAGACCAATTCTGACTCCCTCATAATAATTGATTTGATACATATAAAGAGGGTAAACTATTCCTTTCAAAGTATTTGAAAGGATCAGTTAAATTCTAGAGTAACCATATGTGGTCTGAAATAGGTAAACAAATGTCCCAAGGTTTCTTCTGATCAGCAACTCACTTGTGCAGCATGTTCTTCAAACATACGAATTTCTTCTTCTACTTGTCTGTTTATCATGTTTGTCCATTCTTCAGTTTGGGATGACAGTCTTTCCTTGGCCTGTATATCACAGAAGTAATTACACACATGAACAAACTTTAACCGATTTGTATAGCTGAAAACACAGTTACACTTTACGTCTCAAATATTAAATACAAGGAAAGATAAATTTTAAGTGAAATACTTTTACTGGGGATCGACTATTTACCAAGTTAAGAGTTGAGTTGAGTTTGAGTTGAGTTTGAGTTAAGTTTGAGTTAAGTTTGAGTTAAGTTGTAGTTACCGTTTTTACTTAAAATGTCGTTAATACTATCCACACGACATAAAATGTGCGGATTATTTATATATAAAAATTATTATTTTTGAGGTGGTATTTTAGTTTTTAATACCCGATCGAGTTGGGTCAACCAAATCTGCGAGCCACGCGAGCCACGGTGCGAGTCATGCGAGCCATGCCTGTGAGCCATTTTTGAGTAATTCCGTTTTTCTTAAATTGGTCGGGGAGGTCGTCGATTATTCCACCAGCAAACATCCCTGGAGTTTTACCTGCGACTTGCCTAGCCGCCATCTTGTAAACGGAGTTACCTCGCTCCCAGGTTCTCTCTCTCTGGCGCGACGCGAAGCAGTGTTCCTCGTGATGGCTCAATTTCGGCTCAATACGGAGATCCAACTAGCCGTCAATATAGTGCAGTATTGCCGTCTCAAAACAAAAATTCTTGCTATACGCGTTATCAGGTTTTTGTTTTGCAAAAAGTTTCGAAAAACCCGACTTTTCACGCCATAAATTACTCATTGAAACATAAAAAATTCGAAAGAACATCTTTCTGAAGTTTTTCAAAGAAACATGCGTCGAACAAAATGAGTAAATAACGCAAGTTTGCCAAGTTTTTAGCGAAAACTTTTTTTCAAAATTATGATGGCGTGATTAGCCCGCGCATAGCTCAGCTCGATGTAAACAAACCGTTCAAACCAACAAAAAGAGATTTAGAACTTATCGTATCGTTCACTTTTGATAGAAAGGATCGCTTCATTGAATACAGTGTTGCTTTGTATTGCTCAGTATTGACGAGGAGATAATGTAAAGAAATGTAAGGACCTAAGAGCGACAGGACATAGAAATCCCGTTTGGTGTTGTTGTTTTCATTTGAGTTTCCTTTGTTGTTGGAATATACTCTCTTTAGTTCGAATGATATTTCAAAACATTAACTTAAAGGAAAAAAATTAAAAAATAAACGTTCGTTTTTCGCCCATCACGCCGTCGGAAAAAGGAGTGCGTGACAAGCCCAAAAAACATTTGAAGGCAGGCGCCTGTCTCTTTCAGGTCGTGGGGGAAAGGTTCCGCTCTTCAGTATGCATTTATGAAAAGAGTATGCACGAAGTGCGACGGCTGATACCGAAAATGCGCGAAATACTCACGAAGAGGCCCCGAATGTTTCTGCATCAATAATGGCATGTGCAAAACGCTGTCTGGTAAAATACACTGTTTTGCAACGCATTGTTGTTTTTGTATGAAGTGTTGACAAAAGTCCGTGGATTAAAATTAGCAAAATTACCATATACTTTTGCATTCGTGTTTCCTCGGAAAGCCTTCGGAGCGTAAAAACAAGCACTTTTGTGTTCAAGAATTCAGACTGAACATTATGAAAGTGATCTACCGTATTTTGATTTTTCTGTAAATAATTTTAAAAAACTGTTGACCATGTCATTGTGAAAACATAAGCTTACCGCAATATTGCGTACGTTAGCATTTCTTATTCACGGGCTGGCTCTTATGCCAGTATTTATTTACAAGAATTTAACCGAGATATCGCAAGTTTTTTTGTCTCCAGTGAGTTCAGGTTAATTTACATACGCAGCGACTAAAGCGATACTTTAACCTTTGATTCGAAACGTACGTTGTTACGCATATATATCTGCCTCTCAAACGGGGAGGTTGAATGGAATTGTCATTAATTCTATTATTCTTTAAGTTAATGACAGAAAAAAATACGAAGAAGAAAAAACACAGCGTGCATAGCCTGTGTACAGACGCCCCTCCTCCCCTCAGATTTTTTTTTCTGAGGGAGGGAGGGGCGTCTGTACACAGGCTACAGCGTGCATGGATTGCTTTAGTTTTGTCGGACCGTAATAACTTTGCATACCGACAAAAACAATATCAAGCGACACCTTTAATACAAATGCAGTCACTTCATTCGCAATGCTATAAATAACTAAAAGACCCTAAAATGTCTCGCTACACAGGCTTAAAAATTCATCCTTTATCTGCTGGAAAGAAATACATAAATTCAGGACTTACGGGTTTTGTTAAATTTGAGACCGGAAGTTCGCGAACCCCGCGCCGATTTCTGTTTCAATTCGTGAATTGTAAGTAAACAACAGTTTAATTCAGTTCACTTCTACTTCATTTTTTAGATCAAAGTTCCCAATATAGCCAGGTGTATACTGGTAGTAAACAACAGCATAGAAAACTTTAGTTCATTTCAATATCATCGAATGTGACCGGTCATCTTGACCGTCAAGGCCAACAAAATGAGGACAATTCAACGCTTCACGTTTGGGAATGTAAAATTATTAAACACTTTTTCATTCGTGAAAAAACGAACAGTCGGTCAATTTTGTGTAAAAACGATCTGGATCTTCCATTAACCACTTTTAAGTTAACAAAAATGAAAGCAACGGTAACTCAAACTTAACTCAGACTTAACTCAAACTCAACTCAAACTCAACTCAAACTCAACTCAAACTCAACTCAACTCGTAACTCGGTCATTAGTATCTCTCCTTTTACTGTTGGCCAACTAATTTTTCAACTTTGTCAAAATTTAATCACAAATAAAAACTCAGACAATTTATTGCCTTTTGGACGCACTAAAACTAGGATGATCTGTGCCACAGACCCCTGGAAGGTCCATTCAAGGGGTTGTATTAACATACAGTACAGGTAGCTTACAATAAATAACTTTTTAAGTATCCTGAAATACTTACCTTGTCAGTTTGTGTTTTGTTAAGAAACAACATCTTGCTTTCATGGACTTTTCGCAATTCTTCTGATTTCTCCTCCCTGCAATACAAGTGCAACACACTAAGTTGTTCAGCAGTTCTACAATTCCATGAATGGCTCACCAATAGATTTACTTCTTAACTCTGATCTAGTAACCTGCATTTACGCTTAATTATGAACATAAAAATACTTTCAGGGCTTGATAAAAAAGCTTGTATTCAAGTTTGTCCTCAGGAAAAATAGCTATCACATTTTCCATGCCAAGGGCCACTAAGTTACGAGATGACTTCCCTGCAGGCCCTTGACCATTGGTAAAGTGACAGTGAGCATGAAAAGTTACCTGCCCGGCAGGAAAAATCTACCCATCACCAAACCTCACAAAATCCACTAAAAAATGCAACTGTAGTTGGCAGAAAAACACAAGGTAAACATAATAATAATTTTATTGATTATAGTTACTTTTCTATAGAGTAAGTACTGAGAACATACAGTGCTTTTCTGCCACTTACCCACACCTCTTCACTGCCCTCTCAAATGTTCGTATAGCATTGATTTTAATCTTCTCATAGTCTGTAACAACCTTTTCTAATTCACCAGTGTGATCCCTCTGCATGGCAGATCGTTCCTGAATAGAAGTGCAAACAAGAACAATGGAAATGCTAAGAAAATGCAAGGAAAAGCCAACACAAAGAGGATAAAGGTCACTGATGAAAATGCTGCCAGGCAAGTAGGGCTAAGAAAATGTCCAACTAAAGATCATAAAAAAGATTATCTAATCTATTCGATATTTTTGTCATGGCCTTGATCATCCCTTACCTTTGCATATCTTTTGAGTAGAGCTTCATTCTCTTTCTGGTGCCTCTTAAATACCTTTAGAAAGTTCTGAAATCCAACAAAAAATAATAATTATTTCCATTGGTGACTGCGCCTTATGCAAAATATAATCTCTGACATCAGCCCCTGAAGATTCCTTATAAAGCTACATCACAATTACTGCACCAATTAAAGCAAAGCAATACCCTTGGGCAAACTGTTGCCAACTACACTATTCACCATGATGAAGCTAGGTGAGGTAGAGAAGCTCAACATCTTATAATGCGGTTTTTGAGCAAAGTATAAAGATAATGGATCAGATTTAAACCCTAATCCCTCCCCTTGAATGAAACATTTTGCCTATTTATAGTGAGAAGTTAGTGTTAATGTCAGGTTAGGAGAGCAGTAGCTGAGTTTCCTAGAATCCTATTTACTGCCCTCAACTATAATATACATTCAATAATTACCTTATCTTTTTTCAGTTCAACCACAATAATTGGTGAAAACTTGAAGTCATCTAGATAACAAGATGGAAAGAAATACAAATGTGACAAATTCTGTCTAACCAAAGATGCTTGCTCAGTTAAGAGTGTCAGTTGTGACAGTCTTGTTGTCTTATTTCAGTTATAAGTACGTGTTACTTAGATATAGCTTACAGAAGTATTATAAATGAATTGAAGCGATACACTACATCTGATAAGTATATATATTAAATAAAGCTTGGATATGCTAATATCTTCATTGTTCCAACACATTTATTTCAGTAACGCGCAAGAAGAACTTTGGCAACATACGTTTCTTGGGCACATTGCTTTCGATAAGGGTTAGTTCAGAAGAGGATCTTGTTCCAGAGTAGCTTAGTGTCACAACTGAGTCCCTTGCTCGTTGTGGAGATATACCAATACCAACGTTATTAATACAGGTTAAGGATGGTGCCTTCATTTTAGAGATTGCAGGGGCAGATGATGACTTCTTTATGAATGATGGCAATCTGCTTTCTTCCTCCTAGGTACAGAAAAGATAAGGCACTCAGCTGATATACCACCTACATTTAATTTCATCTGAAGGGGTGGTGGTGGGAGGAGTACTGTCATACAAGCATATGGACATAGTGAAACTATGTAGCGCAAGGTTTTCAAGCAATCTAGTCTGGGTTGGATAGAACTTTCTTCGCATAAAAAAAATATATAGTAAAATGAGGGATGGGTGCAAATAGGGTGTCAACAGAGAATAACAGAATCCTCATACTTGTACAAGGCTTACAGATATCAGAAGGCTTTTGTTTGCACGTTAGAGTACCATTTATTGTAAATTGATCAGTGGTACGAAGAAGAGTTTCCTGGTAAATAGTTAGTCTGGAACGGAGTAGAAATTTTGGTTCCCTGGCCTTGAATAGGGTACAAAATGCACCTGAAAATGGGTTAGAATAGGCTTAAGGTGAAAGTGTCGCAGCAGAACACCCAATCACAAATTCCTATTGTGACCCCTTTCCTCCCCTCACAGATCTCAGATGGACACCTAGTGTAAAATCAGCCGTAACGGATATAATATGAAAAGTAGTAAGTTGAGAAAGCAATGTCTCCCCTCTCCCAACTTCTACCTTGAAGAGATGGATCTATTTTTATTATATTCCACTAAATTTGCCGGTTTTTGGCAGGGGACACTGAGGAAAAGTTTGGGTGGGAGTGTGCCACCAAGGACTTTGCGTAACAGGTCAGTGGATCTGTTTACACCGGAGTTTGCCCAATAATATACATCCTAAGTGGTAGAAAACTTACTGTTTCTTCAATTCCAAAAACACTGGCCATTTGTTTAGCTCGTCTGTCCGCTTCAGAAATGTACTTCATTGGTTCTGAGAGCTCATTAACAATAGCTGCAAATCAAAATTAGTATTAAATTTATTATTATTCATTGTTGTATAGACAATGCTATCAACTGCTAAGATTTTATAGCTAGGAGTCAGCTCAAAGTAATGTAAACAAACATTTGTCTTATAATCAGTGCCACAGAAAATAAACAAAGAACAGCCAATAAAATCACAGGTTAACCAATGGCAATGCAAATAAACAGACCAATCATTAATAACCAGAGTTTGATACAATCAAGTAACAACTTACTTTGACTCTAAGGATAACTACCACAAAGGTTGTCAAAACATTGGTCAATATGAAAAACAGAACCATTCAGGACTTACACCCCAACAACTATATCAGTATAAACTACAAGCTACTTACCAGTATATCTCTCTGGAACATATGTCTTGAGTGAAATTTGACAAAAAAGTGTTGCCAGCGGAAGTGGCATGTTGTTTTCCGTTCTCAGAGAAATGTGTCGGAAACCTATATAACAGAAACAAATTTCTTATTACTGACTAGTGTCCTGTGCAATAACATTACAGACATTCCTGTCACAGTCCTTTTAAAAGTTGTTTGTGCAGGCACTTGTACTTTAGGTATTAAAAATCAGGTGAAATGTTTTAATAAAGCATTCACATTTCTACAATACCAGTTGCCAATACCACGTTAATTAGAATAAAGAAGCTGACACTTACCAGACTGTAGACCATCCAGAGGAACAACTCGCTGGGCAATCAGTTTATCATTGTCATCTATCACACCAAATCTCAAGAGGACAAGTTCTGGTAGAACAATCTGATAATAGTACAAAAAAAGGATGAATCACTGGTGACTTGATGTATCAAACCTAACCCAGCTTCTGTGGCAACAGGACATTCCAATACATGAGACATGAACAAAATGTACTACAGATTATAAAAATTCACACACCCGTCTAAATACAAACTCATCCTCATCATAGACAGGATCCATCCCATTGTTTTGAATGTACTTGGTCCTGTACTTTTTGCGCAAGGTGTCCGTTGGAAGCCCATACATGTCCACTTCCACGCAAGTAGTTATCTTCTTATCAGACAGGAACTGTCCTGAAATCACCTAGTAATCAGAGTAAGGTCAACACTTTCATGTTAATCAGTTATCCTCAAGTTCACGCCTGATAGTTGGGAGCTTTGAGGTTCAAGAAATATCATGACTTTATAGACACCACTAAATGAAACTAGTCATGATAGTTATGAGGAGGCAGCCTGGCTGAGCAGTTAAAACGCAGGGCTCAGAGGCCCCAAGTTCAAGTCGCACCTTGACTGCTAGCTAGATTTGTTCATGGTATAGACCCGAGTTCAAATCCTAGACTATGCTGAAAAATAGCCAACTGGTTTGCCTCTGGCCACTTGGGATTCTTAACCTGTTATGCTTGATTCAAATTTGTTTCAGGCATTTAATTTGCCCAGCACCACAAATACAGCCAAGGGTAAATAACGTTATTATTATTATCATTATTATTATTGATACCTGACTGAGAGATTTGGGGAAAGTTTGTGGATTTCCCTTCCAAGCACAAACATTATCTATTGCTCTTTTACAGCATTTCAAAGCCATTTTTCAGTCTTTGCCTATGGTGAATTCTTTCACTCCCATATCATTAATGTTTTTCATGGATTGAAGCTGGGACCATAACACACTTTGAATAACTCACAACTTCTAAATGAGAGCTATTGGTGCCATTAAAGTAGGGGCATCATCCCTTGCTATGGTTGCCATCGTTACCTCCCCCATTTAGATACTCTAGTTTAGAAATAAAAACTTCACCAAAAACACTTAGCAACTACAGCAACGTTTTATCATTAAGTAGAGTAGTACAACATGTTGTAAAGAAAAAAAGCATCACATACTTTAACTGTGACTGAAGCAGCAACCATCCCGTCAATGACTGACTCAGTAAAGGGATCAAACTGCCGGTCAGATCGACACATTATTTCTGGCTTAAGAAGGTATCTAAACACAACACATCAAGAAAACATCAAGAGCTCCTGACTCTTTTACATAAATCTTTGTTAGCAAAAAATTGAGACCATGCAGCTTAGCTTGGAAAATTTTAATGATAATATATTATTGTGGAGTGAATTTTAACTGATAACAAAAGTTACTCACAACATACCCACATCTTCCATTGTATTCAAATTTTCCATCATTCAACTGAAAAGCTAAATCTGCAAAATGCATCAAAAAGCTCATTAATATATGCTACATTTAAATTGTGTGTTATCCTATTTTTATTAACCCTTTAGGTCCCAAATAGTGTTCAACATCAATTTTCTCCTAACAATATCCATACACTGTCAAGCGATAAAGTTATGAGAATTAATAAAATGATTACCATAGAGAAAATTCCATGATCTTTTAACAAATTCTCTCAACTAATTCTTAAAGTAGATGTATGGAGATCAGTTTCGAGAATTTGTATGTGGATATTGGGGCTTAAAGGGTTAACTTAGGCAGACTTAAACTGTTTGACTGACAACTGCCACAAAAAGAGACAGCAATAATAATAATATTGTCTTATTACCTGATGTCTGAAAGTTGAGGGAAACCATCTGACAGCCAACATTCCAGAAAACCTACGGACAGAATATAAATGTTAGGACAAAAAGAAAATCATCTTTTTAATGAGCAAATTGGAAAAACATTTCCAATGTTCTGTGATAATGAAAGATAAATATTAATATACTTCCATGAAAACCTGTTTCTGTTGTCCCAGATTCCAATATAGCACCATTTACAGTTGTACGTAAATGTTCATAACTTTCTTCTCAAAGTTATTGCAATTCTTCTCACCAGTTTTGTTGAATGAGGTGATTGAGTATGTTTCTTTTTTATATGGGTAAATCCATGAGAGGGCAATGAAGCAAATCCTGTGTCCTGATTGGCTACACCAAAGAGTAAGATGACCCATCTTGCCCCTGGTCCAATAAAAGCCAATATCCAACCATCTTGACCTCACACTTGGTCAGTAACCGATATGTATAACTACAATTGCAGCAAATTACCTGTGGCATGTAATTGCTTGAATCAACTCTACTTCCTTTTGGATAAATCCTGGACTGCTGGCGTTTGTTATATCTTAGTACTTGGTTAATGATTTTAAACAGAGCCTTGCATTGAGTAACTCCTTTCAGTACACTAGTCTCCTCATTACCAACATCTTACTTGTTAAAAGCTACAATGTTAACACAGCCTCGCGAAGGTTAAATCCACCCTATAAGTGACAGGGAACAGAGAAGTGTCTTTCTGTCTAAGTTTACTTATTGGAAATGTTTATTAACTTCATCATAGGGACTCTGTCTGGAATCTCACAGCAGTACCCACACAAAACTTGGTTAAAAGATATCTTTTCGACTGGCCAATTCAGATCCACAGTAAACCTCAAAGGAAGAGGGCATCCAGAGGAAAGCCAGTAATAGGCTGAGGTGTTTCATGATCTTACAGCATGACCTTATTATCACTCTCTAACTTGTGCAACTTATAGGGACCCCTGCAAATGTAGAAATAAAAAAGACCAAACTAAAAGCAGTCCCAGTCAGTCCTTGAAAGTTGTGGTGGTAACTTAAGAGTATGCTACTAGTTGGTGCAGGCACAGGATTTCTGTGGGACTGTGGTACCATAAGAAAGAAATAAGCACGATCCGTTTACTGTATTGCCTAATCCACAATACTTTAATTTACTGAATAAAATTTTATTTTGTAAACAAGAAAAAGGATACTTGACAAATTCCACAGGACTTGCTTTAAGTAAACCAAAGCCTGTTGACTCATTGAATGATGATATATGGTATGACAAGTTCTTCTCTGCAAAAATTAAAAAAATCAAAAACAAGACATCTTTACCTGTAGCACTATACATAGCAAGATATTTAAAGTTTTTCTTGTAGTTTTTATTGTGCAAAAAGATCAATGTAACTGATAAAATATACTGCCCAAGGGATAACCAAGAATTAAATTAATACCAACAAAATGTTGCAACACTTCTGAGATTTCTGCACTCTGATCAATCAATTAATCAATCACAAGTCTAAAGGAGTTCACAACTAAGAGCACCTTAAGTGCCTGAGGTCAGCAGTCTTTTGGCATGAGCATGCCTAGTAGCTCACTACATCCAGCATGTGATTCATTGGTGAGTTCAGTTTTCCTTCGTGCCAGGTTTTTTCAGCGCACGAGGTTCTTGTAGCCATTTTCGTCCCCTCCTTCTCTCTATAGGCTAAGAGCGCATTAAGTGCCTGAGGTCAGCAGTCTTCTCCCTCGGCTTTAATTTTGTTGTTGTTGTTGTTGCCATTTTTTTTTCTCCACTGATGTTTTCCAGTGTGACGGGTGCCTTTTGTTTCGGGGCTCATGGCTGGATTGCGCTGTTGTGCCAGTCTTGGGGGCATTATTTCAATCTAGGGGTTGGCTGCCAAAAGTGGAAGCCCCTGGATACTCAAGGCACCCAACCTCCAGTTTAGCAGTGCAGTTGTTAATGCATTGAAAACTGTGTATAAGTTTGGACCTCAACTTTCCTTCTATTTTATGTTTGACTTGTCATATGTGTGCAAACAATAGCTTAAAAAATTTGCATATAACTTACTCTCTGCTTCATCAAATCCACTGAAGGGGACTGGGTGGATGTAATTCACTAGCACTGAGAGATATGGATGGATGCTCCCTGTGGTTTGTGTTGATCTAAACTGGCTTAGCTGTTCCAAGTCGTCTGGGGTGAGGCTTGCTGCCCTTGAAGTCTACAAAATACATTATTGTGTTTCTCTCAACCCCCAAGATCTGACTAATTTCTACTTTCTGGTTGCTATATACATTTCCTTGTACATTATAGGGGTTACATATCAGGATAACATCCTCTAGCCAATACATTTGCCTACTCTCAATATAACCGTCTATTGATATAATTTACAAGGAGAAGTTAAATGCATGCAGATCACCTCTGGGAGTTAAAAAGTATTACAAGTGAATAGGCAATTTCCAAGGGAAAAAACACACTTTCAAAACGAGGCCGGCGCAAAATGTTTCTTGTGATAATGAGTTTCATTTGAATGACAATAAAAATAATTTTCATATCAATGGCTTTGCACTAAGCCTTGCTTTGAAACAGAAGCTTATGGCAACTTGGAAATGGCCTACTCCTCAACTCATGGGTAAAAGAATTTCAATTTACATTTTTAGGGAACTGGGACAAATTTTTTGGTAACTATGATAAAAAAAGAAACTAAATTTTCTCAAGAAGGCACTAAAAGGGACAGAGAACATAATAATTTAAAACAAGAATGGTTTTATAGTGGGAGAAGGGAGGCTTATCAAGTTCCTCATTGGCTAAACCCTGACATGGAAATTTATTTCAATGTTATTTGCATGACCATATGACAGCAAGCATTGCATTCATAAAGCTGAGATGCAACACAACCATCCCTGCTACAAGATGCTTTAACTTTCCATACCTTTTTTCCTCCCATGTTTAGCCGCAACGAACTTCCATATGCCGTCAACTTTTCCTCTCTTTTTTTAAACTCACTGAGCACATCCCTTTCCTCATCATCATCTGGGTTAGACTCACTACTTTGAACACTTACATTACTCTCTTTTCTGTCCACAACAAATCTTTGTTCATATGAAAAGTCATTGCTGCTTCTAGTAGATGAACTTGAAAAGGTTCCATGAACAGAAGTATGTGTCATTTTATTGTCTACTTTTCCATTATATTCAACAGCAGATGATGTAATTTTACCATTATTTGAATCAATGTCTTCTTGTTCTGGGACAACATAAAACTTGGACCTCTTTTCAAATTTCAGTGAACTATCATCAGAATCATCTGCATATCTTGAATCACTATTTTCAGTTGCATCAGATACTTCCTGGATGGACTCAAGGCCACCATTATGTCTGTTAGGCTTTATAACAACACTTGCATCTGGGTTGCTATTTTCGTCTTTACCTGGGGGAAACTCGTAGTGAGATTCTCCACTTTTTGTCACAGTTACGGTAGGGGTTACTGAAAGATCACTGTCATTCGAACTGTCAGAAACAGCACTGAGAGTTGAACCAAAAGAAAGTCCAGAAATACGATTTCCACTTATGTCTTCACTAGTTCTCAATGATCCTGTTGAACAAGAATCTGAACTTGACTTGTCATTAAGATTCTCAATACCTTGCATTTCAAAAAAGTTTCTACTGTTTTGGGACATAACAAAAGCATTCTCTGGGTCCTTAAACCCATTTAAGCCTACATCATTAAACACTTTAGATAGAAGCAAACTTGAATATGCAGAAAAAGAGCTGTACTGAGCTATGTCATCAAGAGTGACTGCCTTGTCCTCATCAGATGGTAATTCTTCAATTGCAGTAGTTGTTGATTCACATAAAAGATCGTTGCACATTTTATCACTATATTCCATGAGCCTGTTAAATTCCTCACAGCTTGTGGATCGATCACGAGAATCATCAATGTCACTTTCAAGCACTTCTTCTTCCTCTTCAATTTCATCATCAATAATTGCTGTCTCCTTAATGCTTCCAGTACGAAATCCTACCATACAATACACAGGTAAGTGAATAACTTATGTAAAGATTCACTGTGCAAAGAATTTCTAAATATCATTTAACACAATGGACCATTTTACAGTTGTGGGCTTAGTACCCTATCATTATTATCAATACACAAGGCCAAATCTCACAAATTTATTTCCTAAGGAAAGATTGTTTAACCTGAAATCATGTTGCCAGCTGCAAATTCCATTTACAGCCCACACTTTGCCGTTTGGCACGTAAAAAGGAGCGTTTTAGACGCTGGTGTCACTGGTGTTATTACTACTTCATTATACACAAACGCTTTTAAAATTTTATCAAGCATTTGAGTTGCTCATCTACAGGTTCAGTAATAGCAAAAAATTCACTACTGCTGCAGTTGGATGTCAAGTAGACAGCTTATTTCATGCAATGAAAAGTATTTTTAAAATGTCAAAAATGTACACAAAGAAAAAAGCTCATATTTATAAATACCTGATATGTCTGAGGGTTCAAAATCGCTCCATAAGTCTAAGGTAAATAATTAAAACAAGTTATTCAATCAGTGCTGCCATACCAAACTGCTTTAATTTATGACTAGAAAATTTACTACATTTAACTAAATCTCTCCTACATGGCCAATAAACATTTTTTTAAATTACAGAAAGTCACAAATTGAGGCTCAAAGTGTGCAAAAAGGGTGTGGTTTTATACATCTGCTTTTATTATTTTAACTAGGGTGCCATACTCACCTTCAGATTCCTGTTCTGGTTTTAGCTTCTTGTTCTTTATGATAATTTTTCTCTTCAAATGGCTAGGTGAAGGTAGAGGTACACCTTCTTCAAGCTTTGGGAGACAGGAGCAAAAAAATTACCAAATAACATGACCTCTGTTTGTCAACAAAGACATGTACTGCCAAAAAACAAAAGGACCAAAAACACTTACAGGATGACTATCTAAAGGCAGTTTCAGAAGCATGTCTCCAAAGGTATCTGAGCAAATGCAAGCCATCCTGTACTGCTGGTTCTTGCTGTTAAAAGCAATAATAATAAGGAGAAAAAAACATCAACCGGTGGTGAAGAGCATGTTTTCCTTTTTCTTTTTTTTACTTAAGCTAGCCACGCTTGCATGACCGCGTCAAGTTGTGGCAAGTCTAGGTGTGAATAAGCGCAACAACTCATGCAAGCAAAACAAAGTAGGGGAAAGGAATGCTAAATGACCCCTTACTGAGACTTATCTCCATCAAAAACTATTAACCCTTGGATGTATATGCAAACTCATACCCTCACTGTGGTACAAACGGGGGAGGTTATACCCTCCGGCCATTTTCGAACAATTGCAATATTTGTCTTAAATATATAAGCCTGTTATGTCGTCTACAAGATGTTGTTGGTATTATGGTGTTATGGCCGCATTCATCACCAAATATGTTCATCCCACTAGTTCTTTGTTTAAATAGTTTAGCACACTCCTTTCACATTCTTTTCAATTATCGCAATTTATATTGTTAGATTTCTTGCATAATTTTCTTTGTTTCTAGATCATTTTGTAAGTTTCATTCTTTATTTAGGATTCGCTTTAGAGTTCACAGAGGCATCATCTCAGTTTTTGTTCAGTTATCAGCTATGCTACCTTTTTTCTGTCTAACTTTGTTCAAGTCACACAACGTTTGTATCTTTAATTAGCGTGTTTCCTTTCCTGTATTATTTCATTGTTTCATAGCTGTCATTTGTATTTCATACTAACTTGTAATTTGTTTTTATTGTGGCAACCACAATAATCGTTATCAATACAACAGAAATAAAAAGCTCGTTAGAACTGTGAGACTATTTGCTATAATATAACGGATACACATGCACATTGTGCTCCTGGGGGCCAGTGGAGTCATTTAACATAGCAAACAATAATTTTTAGATTTTCCATTATTTTGAGCAAATTTTTTGTTTTTCGTCACAAATTTAAAGCTTTATCAGAAAAATACACTTTGCGACACTTTTTTTCAACATAACACTTCAATACATTTAGAATTTCACACCACAACCTCACTTGACATTTGATATTTCCTATATCTACGAGAAAATCCTCTTGATAAAATTTTTTAAAACTCAAGAGATCCCCCCCACCTCCGCCCTTTACTCCTTAAAGTTAACACTGATAAGTCCTCTTTGTTATAAAATGCTCTGTAGATAGACCTCAACCTCAAGTTCACACAGCCCTAATTTAACTGACAAAGGGTGAAGGTTAGGTGCATAACAGTATGGTGAAACGTGGGGTGCACCATCCGTTTTAGCCAAAGAAAACAGCCAACATTTGGCGACACTACCACTGGTTTCCCTGCCAAATGACATGTGAGAAACAAGTGCAGAAATTCCATACTGATGCCAGGTCACTACTGAGATCTGGGTAGTGCTTCTGATTGGTCGTGCTGCACTGGAAATTTAATTCAACCAATCAGAAGCACTACCCAGATCTGGGTAGTGATGCGTCATCAGTATGGAATTTCTGTGCTCGTTTCTCAGACGTCATTTGGCGGGGAAACCAGTGGTAGCGTCGCCAAATGTCGTCTGTCTTCTCAGGCTACATCCATTTATAAAATTAATAAGCAGACAAGTGAAATAATAAGCTGAATATGGTTGCATTTACGGTATGCAAAACTCTCTGTCATAATTAAATAAAATACCTGCAGTGATTTTCAAAAGAAAGTATTACTGGATACTCTGAGGTCACAAATGCTGAGTCACGTATAGCTTCAATAACATCCTAAAATTTTAAATTACACAGAAAAAAACTGTCAACATCTTGCTTCAAATTATTTTTTTTAAATCAAACAGTCAGAATGATTCTTGATGATGACAAGATAGTTTCTCAGCTTACAACAACCCCCCCGCTATCACTACCCACCTTGAACCAAATGTTAGTGCACATGGCTTTGCCGTGGGTTATTATTGGTTCATCACCAGGCCCATCCCAGCAGTCCAGTTCGATGCATCTTGTAATATCAAAGAAAGAGTGAGTGAATTGTTATATCTTACAAAGCTAAAAGTTCTTCTGTCAAGTTCTCCCGAGTAAGACATGTTTACTGTTTGGGCTTATTTAAGGATGCTAGTTATTAACTTTTAGTGAGGACCAAGTAGAGAGCAGTGGGGTGCTGCTCAAGATTAAAACCTCTTACTTGTGAAAAAGTCTAGGCCACAAAAAAACTTGGGGATTCCTGGGTAATATTATTACAGATGAAGGGTTCCTACTTCAACCTCTACAAACATACCGACAGCCTGCCAGCAGGCACTGCCTATACATCTCCACAGATGATTTTCCACCAAACTGACGTCCTGCAGTGGAAAAATGAAAATGAAAATTCATTTTTATTTTTGTGTTTCTACACTACACATTGGTGGTTATTTTGAGACGAAATAATGGCCTGCTATTTAAAGAACATTGTAGGATTTATTGTATTATGACTCACCCACAAGATATGTGTTGTGTGATGAGTTAATAAAGTAGTGTGACAGTGGCTGTGTCATATCTTGACAGATTTCCACTCTGTCTGGCATCATAAGAAGATTATCGTCACTCAGCAGGTATCTTGTCAGTCCATTTACAGTAATTCGATCTGAAAAAAATCAAATCAAAGATATTATTAAATAGATCAGTTACGTCTTCATAAATCTATGGTCTGGTCAAAATAATGAAATGAACATAATAATAATAATAAAAACAAATATCTATTGAATATATTCAAACCAACATTAAAATAATAATAAAATAATAAATTAATATAGTAAAACTATCTGGTTTCTAATAAATAAACTAAAAATTACAAAATCAAAAAGTAAAATCCTAAAAAAAATAATGAACAACATCATTATTTAAGACTGGTTTCACTGCACGTAGCAGTATATTTTTGAATCTCATGTATCATTTCAAGTTCATGACCTCACAAAGAGTGTAAAGGAAGATTCAGGTGTAATCTGTGTTGAGATTTCATCAACTTTGACTACAGAGCTATTGTAAGTCATATTCTGGGCTTGATTGAAATTTTTTTTTTCAAGTCCAGTTTCGTGATACCTCTCAACTGTAGCAACTTAAGGCAGGTCCTCATTGCCCAGGGGGCATAATTTTCCACGATAACAATAATGGGGTTGCTTGCCGGAAAATTTTCAAAACTCCCCCAAGAGGTAAAAGAATCTTGTTCTATGGGCATCGCTCAAGTTTATTTTAACTCCTACAAGGTAACAAAAATCAGTTCAAATGAATAATGAACAGTTCTATTCACTTTTGGCTTGATACCCTAAAAGACCCAAAACGTTCCCATTACAGCTCTAACAGCCATCATTGTACATGTAAACACCCTTAGTTGTATAATTCCACAATTTTTACCCCTAAAAGGTATGTAAAGCACTCCCATGATTTTTGTATGGGCGCATTCCCCCCCCGCCACCCCTGGGGCCTAAACAGACTAACTAAGTTGTGTACCTCTTGCAAGATTGTCCTTGGATTTCTCATATTTTCGGATCAATGATAGTGCCTTTTCCTTGTTGTAATAGGGGTAAAGTATTTCATTCAGACGTGGATCTCTTTGCTCCTGGTTTAGAAACTTGACCAACTGATATACATTAAGGTAAGGTGCTTTTCCTCCTCCCCTGTGTAAAAACAGACAAATGATTGATAGTCAAATGAAATGAATATATTTATCCTTTTACCCACCAGTGGTGGAACACTCTTCAACAATACAGTTCATTATTTAATGGAAATGTCCAGCATAACTTTTGCCTACTAGTTCAGGGGCGGATCCCGGATTTTTCTTAGGAGGGGGTGCACCACTAACTGACCGATGACGTAAAAAATTTTAAAAGCGAATACGAAGAAAAGGGCTTTTGACTAGGAAATAACATAATGTGAACTGCTGAGAATACATATCAAACAATAGAGCAGATTTTGTATGTCTGTCAAGCGACTGCACAGTGTTAATTAGAAAGCGGCTGCAGGTCATCTCAGGGGGGGTGCGCACCCCCTGCACCCTCCCCCTGGATCCGCCCCTGTAGTTGTTCATTGTTGTGACCTCATAGCTTCTCATTGCCCCTTACTACCACATGTTTACATTCAAACTGCCTCAACTTCAGGTAGCTTCTGCTATTTGTGGATGGAGACTATAACTCAATTCAATGATGGAATAGGGTCTAAATAAAGTAAATATATACAAACCACTGGCAGGGTTTTAACTTAGTGAGGAATGCTTTTCAAAGTGAAGAGCTGTTTCACAGTTCAGCAATATAGAGTATCATATTCTCTTCAACTACTGGTAACCCCCAATATTAGAATGCTCAGACTGGGCTGGCTATTTGGCCTGGTTACCATGAGAGACTGCCATTTTATTGTGAATCAGAATGTAAAGAGGAAGAAGCTGTATCATTAAATAATATTTAACTTTGGGTCTACTGACCACCAGATAAGTTTAGAGGATGGCATCACTCCATAAATCCTTTGGTAAAATTTCATTCCCCATAGTATCTCCTGGCAATTACCAAGATTGACAGAAGGAAAATTGTCTTGTTAGTTCAAAATTGCTTGCCCACGAAAATGATTTGCAGTTAGATTGTTTCAATAATGCCAAAGATACAAGGCAAAAGGGGTCTTTATAAGAGCTAAAAACAAAACCTCACCACTTAATACAAAGCTGTTCCATTTCTAGCCTTCCACAAACTCTCAAGTAAAGTTGGTAAAACTGCTCAAAGCAGAATGAAGCATAGTCAAATTCATCATTCTGGAAGACAAGAGAAAAAAATGCATTTTATATTAATTTTAAAGCCTGCAGGATCCAATGCTATAGCACTCTTTAGTAAAAACAAACCTTTAGGACAGGAAAACAGCAAGCTGCAAACAGAATTTGCAATATATTATGTACAATATACAAAAATTGAAAGTCAAGGGTTTCTATAGCAGCTTCAAAACCACTAAAATGTAACTTCATCAATGGTGCACATCATTCTTCCATGGCTACCTAACCTCTGCATATGTACATCCCACTCCAGGTTCATATTTACACTACATAACCTCACTCAATTTTTCTACTTGTTGAAACCAACATACCTTGCCACAAGGAAGTTTCATGGCTTCTAGGCCCTCAAAGACTCTCTGCTCATATTTTCCAACATTGAGACACTTACATATACTAGAGTAAATTGAAGTGAGGATAGAATGTCAATTAAAATAAATGCAAGGTCAGTGTTGCTAAACCCCAAGCTATGAACTAACAACAGGATATAGAGGTTACAATAAATTTGTACAAACACCAACTTTATTCATTATGTCAATCAGGGCTCAAAATTAAAAAAATCCTCAAGTTGCCTTTTGGCGACCAACCGGAGAAATATAGTCGACAGATACAAATTTTTAGTCACCAGTTTGTATTATGTAAATGACATAGCTCATAGTATCAAGAACGAACGACGTACCAAAACTACCAGGTGTAAAATTATGTTGCAAAAAACTGGGCACTTGTCATGATGTTAAAATCTTTGCTATTGGCTCATTTCTCGAGTGCTTTGTTGTTAAAATAGCAAATGATTATCTCTGTTAGAAAACATTAAACATGCCCGTCAAATCAGTGTAAAATCAATCAATATTCTACCAATATTTGCCCAGAAAATTCCCACAAAATTGGCCGTTTTTTACCAATTGTTTTTTGGCAAAGTTAGCACTGAAAATTTCCACCAATTGATCTCTGAAATCCAGCAAAATTTGACTTTTTTTCGGTGACCTATCAGAAGCCTGTAGTATGGCGCAATCCATCAGATCTGACTGTTTGAAATATTGCGGACAGAAGTTGGTATAAATTTGGAGGTAAACTGGCTTTTGTTTATGCACCTTGGCACATTTTCTATGATGAAAGCAAAGCAAGATAAGATGAAATGTTTGTTTTAACTTTACTCTTTTAATTTAAATCTAAATCACAGAGAAATCTGGTCGCCATCTGGTTGCCAAAGTGGCGACTAAACCAGAATTCTTATTCGACAAGGAGAAAATGTTAGTCGCATTGGCGACCATATCAGTCGCAATTTTGAGCCCTGTTAATAAATATATGACAGTACAGATTTACCGAACCACAAATTGATACAGCTAGTCGAGGCAGGTAGGTAGAACCACATGTATATAAACGGTGCTACATAGAGGAAACTACTTGAAAAGTTGCTACAAGGGATATTACAACAAGTTGCTTTTAATTATTATTTAATCATATGAGTAATTGAAGATGATGGAAGGTATGAGTTTTAAGTTTTTAGAATGGAAGCAGAACACTTTACCTTTTAACTGAAATCTTGTTGGAAGGACCAGCAAGATGACCAAGCTTAACATAGCTGAAGAAAAAAGGCAATAAATACTCACTGTTTTGCTGGTAGCTAAAATATACAGATCTTTAGCCTGCAAACGGCAGACGTTTCTCCTCGCTAATTGCCTCTGAGAGACGTTTCTCGAGGACGAACGTCTGCGACTCAGCGACAGAAATTCCATACTGATCAAACAAAATCTGTCCGGAATCTGGACAGAAGCGCTAATTGGTCGACGGAGCAGTTTCATTGTTTGAGCTATTGTTTACGAATGACAGACAAAAGACAAAAGGCAATATTTTTGGAATATAGTCTTCTCTAGAAGAAGCATTTGAGTTTTGCTGGAGATCATTCGCAGATGAACACAACACTTTTCCAAAATCGACTAGGAGAAACGTAAACTCGAACCAATTTACATTCGAAACCCCATGACTACCGGATTTATTCTGTGAACATCGATTTACATTATCAGTATGGAATTTCTGTCGCTGAGTCGCAGACGTTCCTCCTCGCAAAACGTCCCTTAGCGGCGATGAGCAAGGAGAAACATCTGCAGTTCACAGGCTGGCAGATCTTTTTCTTTGCTTGAATTGCATTTTCCTATAAATTTTACCCAGTGTTTCAGGAGTAGCTAAATTACATTGATATTTTAGTTCTTAGGTAACAAAGCACAAAGTACAATCAAGTTACAAATACCCCAACATTATTGTGTGACCTGCATCGGCCAATGTGAACGAGTCATTTCAGTAAGATACTTGCTAATTTGAGTTAGATAGGTGAATGAAAGAGGACAAAATTAATTTAATCTACAAGTATGTTTATTACACCATGACCAATACATTATTGTAAGTGCATCTGTTTCTACAGTTTTAACAGCTTGACATGAATACTTACAGTTTTAATAACTGTGTTAAGATGCTGGCATTGTAAAGCTTGAGGTTGTGTAGCAACGGAATAAGCCCTTTAACCCACTCCTGTAAATATGAAATTAAAGAAAATTAAGACAACTGCACCATTTACCTCAGGTTTGAGAGTCAGATGATGACTATTTTGAGCTACTAATGTAAAATACAAAGTTAGGACTCTTAATTTTACCCCTTTTGTCAAAGCACTTAAATCATGACATGAAATTTGATACCTAGAATGAAGAGGGTTTCATTTAAATTTGTATTTTCACAATTCACATGATCTTCATTCTATGTTTCATTCCTTTTATGGGTTAAGATAAACTCAACAAATTTGCCTGCTCCCAATTTATGGGTCTTCATAACTCAGTTGATAGAGCACTGCAGCGCTAATGCAAAGGCCAGGGGTTTGAATCCCGTTGAAGTCCCAAATTATTTTTTTTTTTTTTTTTTTTTTTTTTGGGGGGGGGGGGGGTGGTGGGGTTAATTTACAATTGCTAAAATTGCAACTACCACTGTGGCGATCATATCTTCATTTAAACAAGACACTGATCACTATCTGGGGGAAGGACTACCTGTTATTCAACATATTCAAGCCTTTACCAGCTTTGTAAAAAACAAATTTATAAGTGGGGCTTGGGACGCAGGAGATAACGTTTGGTGAAGCTATAAGTCATAGATACCCAGTAGTTCTAGGGGCAACATCCTATTATAGTAAAAGGTGCAAGGGAATCCCCACCTACACTGTACCCCAATGGCCACACTTTAGGTACTAAAGAGGTTAGATTGTTATTCCATAGCTTACTAATGAAATTTTGTCCACCCTTGGCCGTAAATGCCACTTTTGTTACACTAACCAAGTGTAAATTACTCTTGAAGAAAATGTGACTGAAAAGACCATACCTCAGCAATTTTGCTAGATTCTGCACAAAAATGCATGTAGGAAACCTCCACAAGATTTTGTCCACACACCAGTGTGAATGACCTGTCTTCAAGAGAACCCTCCCCGTCACTCTGCAAGAAATCTCGCAACTTGACATCCTGTGAAACACCAAACAAACACAAAAAAAAATCAATAACTGATGACCAGCAGCAATTTACTGAAACAAAACAAGAAGAAATAAGTGTAAGGAAGTCAGTGGCTTGACGTCACTGTAATGCCACTCTCAAGAACATAAGTAACAAATTATGCAGTCATTTATATTTACAACACCACATTTGACTATTTCATTTGCAAGTTTAAACCATCCCTGAACAAGGAAACTGACACTGTCCATGCTTAAGCGTTTTTCATAGTGCCATTGTTAGCATGCTAATTTAATTAAAGACACTTGAAACAAGTAAAATGACTTTGTATAATTTTGCATAACAATTATTGTTACTTGGAGCTTTTAGATGATACTGAAAAGTAAACTTGTTACACTTTTATTTTTACTTAATAGAAACAACATTTTCCTCTGTTTCGTTTTTTCACGTTGCTTCTTTAATTAGAGAAAATTAACATAATATTACCGGTATTCAACATTTGGATGTATCCAATATCATTATCAATGAAAAAACTATGTTCGATACGTCGCAGTTAATATTTTATATCATTTAATTTTTGTTTTTCCTTTGTTTGAAATTCGTTAGCATACATTACCATACCCAAACACAATGGAAAAATAAAAATTAACTGCATGAGATAAAAAACTTAACTACAACAGATGCATCAAGACATCAAATAATGTCACCTTTAATTTTTCTTGTTAAATTCTTTAGCAAGCAACTGACCATCAGGCCACTTATAATTTTAGCAAAATATTGTCATTAATATTTAACAATATTTTTTGTATCTCTTGAAGGAATAAATTCTACAGATTTATACATTACTTGGTACTTAAGTCACTGCAGCAAAATGTTAAATATTTATCATAATCGCAAGTTAGAAAATTGACATGTCCATTTTGCCTTTGTAAACATGACAAATAGAGGCTGCTTTCCTTTATCCTTGGAAAATTATAATTTTATCTTGTTTTTAAATCCCTTGCACAAAGACGGGTTTGAACTAATTCAGCAACAAGCAAAACTCATCCAAAAAGCCAAGCAGAAAAATAATGTTTCAAACAACAGAAAATCTGATCTCCAGTCAGCACAACAACATAATTACAATAAACTCTTACTATGATGTAACTCTTCCTAAATTTTAAATCGGCAGACAGAAATGTCAATAACATCATTCCAAGATGGCTGTCAGGTGTCACGAATATTTGCAATTTTCTCATCATATTTCCCTATGTCAACGTGAGATTACATCCACCATGACTGATTACAAACGAGAAACCTATGATAGTGTCCTTTAAAAATTAAACTGTAGAAAGCTGTGATTGATTTCTTAACAAAAAGAACTCTTTGAAAATCAATTACCCGTAGAGAATCTGTGAATGACGCTTTCATTCACGCATAAACATAAATGCAAGATTTTGTTCACTTGACACATCCAACACCTGAGCCCACATTAAAATTTACTTTCTTCGTACTTTAAAGCCCTCGGAAAATAACTTAGCCAAAATTATTTAATTCTGACAAGAAATCACACATGGAATGACACCTATCCACGGCAAGGTTTTGAAACCTTGATATTTTAATGTCAATGTTGCGACCAGACGCAAATGTAATTGTATTTTTTATACCGAAGAACAGATGGTTGTTTCAAGAAATCTTCGAATAATTTTGGAAGGTTTCACCACGTTTTCAGAATTACACAATCTAATTATTTATTTGTGCTTGAAATAAATAAATGAACTAGCGACCTGGGTGATCGATCCTTACTTCATGATCGTGTCTAAAAACTATCAACCTGCATCAACGTTTAGAACGTTGGTTTATATTTACGTTTCTGAATGTAGATGAAATTACAATATCGCACGCGACGAAACAATCAAATCTTGCGTTGCTCACGCATAAGAGATGTTTTATAAATAAAAAGGCACCATTTTCCCGGCTGTGTTTGCAAAAAGTACACAGACTAAAACGTAGAAAACAGCCAGTACATACCATACGAAGACAGGTTATTATATTCTAGGGCTTCCGAATGTCGAAATGTAAACAAAGGTGTCACAAGCTCTGCACTTCAACTATTGAATTCCTTTGATACCAAAAAGGAAAAACTACTGAAAAAGACAATATCCCCACTATATACAACTCAAAATAATATGAGGACTTCTCTTGTATACAGCACGTAAAAATCTGTGAACGGAATAAATAGATACGTGAACAAAATGGTTCATCTGAGAAGTTTCGAACTGTTTCTTAGCTACGACATTATGCTTGATGATCAATCTCGATGAGAGAACCCTTATTCTGGACAGGTTAAATATTCTTAGAACGTTTACTTGTCAGTTTGATATTAAAAAGAGCATCAACCACAAACTGCAGCTAATTTCCAAATGATACAAACAAACCTGAATTTACAAGTAAGATAAATAAATGCCACGGAACACAGTCGCAACAGATTGGGAAAATGTCCATCGAATAAATGCACAAAAGTCGAATTTTATCTCTTATTTTATTTTTCCGAAGAATATTTTCAAAATAATATTTACTCTTATGAAAATAGTCCACTGGTTACTAAGAAGCAGCCTGTTTTAATTTTCTGAGTGATAAGATAATCTATTGCCTCTTGAGCATTGACTTTCTGCTATATTGTACCAACCTTTGGAACACCACCAGGCCTTACTTCACTGACGTGACATAAATCCAGAACGATTCCCTCTTCCTAATACCAGCGGAGACGAAACAAAACGTTAACCAGATTATATTTAAAAGAATTTTAAAAATTTCATTGACGAAAGGAAAACACTGCGTCTGAGAGCAATGTTGAAACCGAACAAGTGCAAGAACTTAACCGGGTTCTAGGAATCTTTCGTAACCGACAAGTTAAGTCAGTAAAATCAATAAGATATACCTTATCCTCTTCCTTCCAGGCCAGAAAGAAACCATATTTGTCGACACAGAAAGACAGCCCTTGACTTAAATTGGACTCCTACAAAATAATTGAGGGAAATAACCATCTGATGCTAAGCAAACGCTCAACAAATCTCGTAAGGAACAAAGTAAGTCAGTACATGTGGTTCACCACAAAGTTATCTAATTTCTTGACTTTTCCGTGGTGAAAATATAAGTTCTACATGTGCTGCAAGGAGTTACCTCGTCCCATCTCGTTAGCCGAGTACCATTTTGTAGCAAATCCGGAACGTAAACGTCCCAAGAGATTCGAGGAGCCGCCATTCCACTTCAGGAGCAAGGTCCAAATAGAGAGAAATGAGAGGCCACATAACACATGGCCGAACTCAAATATACTTCAGGGTGGTACAGTCCTTCGTAATATCATAGCCTCCACGAGTTTTTGCTACTGACCTTGATGAAACCGTTTTATTAATCCGTCATGTCATGTCATAGTAATCGGACTGAAGCCCGACGGACGACGAGCAATCCGTTCGTGTTTTGGCTTGCGTTACTAATTCAAGAGAGCTTCCGCAGCGACAGCCAATCACAATGCAGTATTCAATATAAAGCATGGCCCGCCAATCCCGAAATTACAGAGTTCGAAAAAACAGCTGCTTTTTTGAACGTGGGTGAAAATAAGTTGCGCTGTTTAACTTTTACGGCTCTCTTTTTACTTACTGTAAGTTGTATGTAGATCTATGTCATCTATTTTTAGAGACTGGCGGGCTATTAAAAAAGAATACACGCGACTTGCATGTGATGCTTTTTCAGCTTGTTTGTACCTAATACATAAATGGGCTCTAATGTTCTCGTATGACTGTAGTCAGCTGTGAAATCCTGTTTTGGACACAGTGATCGCATCTATAAACTCTTTCTATAGCATCTATGAGAAATTCTACCAATGTTATCAATGAAATCTCCGGAGTACTATTAACTTCCCGAGCTTTAAATGAATTTTCAATTATTCGATATTAAATCAAAAAAAGAAACATTTTCGCCCAAGAACAAGTGTTCCGGATATTACTTGGTAAGGTGAATATACGCTTTGAAACGCTATGGCCTGGAGGAGAAGAAACAATATTAAAACTATAAATACTACTTTTGTTCGAGTAAATAAATAGTTAGCCTGCGTTGCAGCCAGCCCACGTACTCGTTTAAACCACTTGTATAGTCCGTCTCTATACAGAAGGTTTAGAGCGTTTGAGACGCAGGCAAAAAAATAGTTTTCCTGCAAAAAATCTCCGATTAAATTTCTGTTGGTTTTGTCATGTTCACAACAAATGGGCAGATTTTTTTATTAGATGAAATTCTTTGCGTTAAAGAAAATGAATAATTACGGGTCAGATATCACCAAGGTATATTTGCATGAGTTAATTTCTCAGATATGAAAACACTATCTAATATAGTTTTTCCATTACGCAGACAATAGGCATGGTGAATATGCAATTTAGGTTGATTTACACAGGCTTATAACGATGACTCAGATGATGTCTTTGCTTCCTAGGCATACTGACATCAGTTTCTTTTAAGCACTGCCCGTCCGCCGGCTACCACTATGCATTGCTGTGTAAAGCTAACGAATCTGCAGATAAATTGAAAAACAAACTCATTTTCAAGGAGTCAAACTTCATGCTTTAAGCAAAGACACACAAAAAAGGATAAACCGATAATCAGTAGAAAGCTGCACGTGGACAAAGTGCGTGAAAACCCTGGCGGGGGGGGGGAGGGGGTCCTGCCATATATGGGCTATATAGGTATATGCCGCCATAAAGGGTATGGTTTTCAAGCAGTTTACTCTGGGATAGGGTAAATAAATCAGAGAGTTGGGTCCAGAATAGGGTATCATTTTCCAGGAAACTGATCAATTGCTTGAAGCTTTTAGTCTGAGTCTAGACTAGGGAAACCGGGAATTGCCACTCAAAAATATAACAAAGATCAATTCGGCAAGTTTAAATTCACGCCACTCAGCCTTAAAGCTACTCTAGGATAAGGGGATCTGGGGAGTTTAGTCTAGTATACAAAATTCAGCGGAACTAGCTCTACTCTATGCTAAAGGTTCCAAGGTCTCAGTGGCACATCCCTGCCCAAAAATTCCTAGTGTCCCCCCCCCGGGGTGAAAACTCAATCGCGGTACCAAAAAGACGTAATTCCTTTGGAAATGGGTTTCTTGGCTAATTTGACTGGTGTAGTGCGGTTTTGAGTCGACGAAAAGCGGTTGAGTATTGTCTGGTTGAATTATCCTTGGGCTTCGGCAAAGCGTAATCATATGCAAGAAGAAGCAAAGTAAATATCTCGAATTACGAAACGTCTTTTTAGCTCAATACTTTTTGATAAGCGTTTTTCAATGGTTCCTGTTCAGGACTGTTATGGTGTCCTTGCCTCCCAAAGTAAAACTAAGGCGATCACGACGCTCTCGAACTCCTTTTTGTTACTGTTGTTGTTTTGTTCTTTTTTAACCAAAAATAAATAAATTATTATTAATAAATGACGAGAGTATTGCATTAACCACTCTAAATTGTTTCAGACGTTCAGATATAGTGGAGTGTGTGAAAGGTTTGAACCCAGGAGTCATTTCAAAAGTAGGTTGAGTTTGATCGTCCGCGTGAATGTAGTCCTGAATAGGACTGTTGTTGTTGACAGTGACTGACGTTTCGACAACCAGTGCGGTAGTCATCTTCAGAGTCATAGTGAAGGGTGCTGCGAAATGGAGAGCGGAGGACAAAAAAGCGGATAAAAGGAAGAAGGAAAGAATTCCTCTGCCCTCTCTCCCTATCCGCACCCCATTGCTATATTTTCCTGCGTCCTCCTTACTATCTGAACGGGCTATCATCAATAGTAATCTATTCCCGGTGAACGTTCGCATAACAAAGGCCTGGGACTCAAGAGATGAGTTACGGGACATGAGAGTCCGCAGACGAGAAGGCGATAGGAGTAGACCAAGATAAGAGAAAAAATCGGGGGAGGGAGGGAGGGAGGGTTAAACAAACGAACCCCAAAGCAAAACAGATGTAGACCCCTACCACCTACACAAACACAAGGGGCTTCCACGGGCGCATGAATCCAATCCTTCCGACCTTGCAGCCAAACTGGACACATCTGCTTACACACGTGTTCAGTTTATTTATATAGAGAAAGCCACTCCCGAGGGAGAAACGCACACACATTCCTGAAAAAGATCTCTCGCTACTAATTCGTCAGAATTAAGGCCAGTGTTACACGAGCGAGCACCGGGAATAGAGAACAGCTGCGGTCCGAATGAGCAACCTCGTCCCCAGGGTCTTCTCGTTTTCCAATATGGCGACGGTATGTTGGAAAACGAGTAGAACCTGGGGATGAGGTTGCCGGAATGAGCACCGGGGTTACCGCTGGCGTCATTGAAGCATGCGCAGTGAACGATGCACACGTTTGAGATGACTGGAAACGCTACTGTCAATCGGGTTGTTCGTAGAGTCTTCTCGTTTTCCAATTTGCCGCTGTCATGTTGGAAAACGAGAAGACCCTGGGAACAAGGTGCGCTTCTGAGGGAAATACAACCCTGGTCAAAACTCTTGGGACACTAACGCAATAGCTAGTCAAATTGAGGCATCTTCCCTCCCCACTTCCCCCCCGGTGCAATGTTGACGTTATGCATTCAAGTTTTAATTTAACACAATCAACACTGCTTGGGGGAGAGGGGGACAGCAGAAATAGCCCCTTATAACAACATACCCAAGCTTTTTTAAGAGGTAGAATATGAGTTTATTTAGCAAAGTGCGTCTTTGTGCCTAATTTCGTTAAGTGTCCCAAGACGTTTTGACCAGGGTTGTAGGGAGGGGCTGCGCTCACGCTGCTTCTGATGCATTAACAACATATGAAAACAGGGGAGAGTTAAGCAACTTCAACACTTAAATACGGTAACTAAAACGTCTTACCAAACAAGAGGTTAAGAGAGCGAAAACAATGCCTCTGAGATGCTTGGAAACCATTCAATTTGCAACACCAGTGATTCCCCATTGAAAACTTTAGGAAAAGTGGTCTTTGCATAGATCAAGCAGTCTCAGACACTATGCGTTTTTCTAGCTATAAATAAGCCTGTTGATCTTGACACGCCTAAGACTCATTCAGTCTCGACATACTCGCTAGCTCAAGGTGGCGGTGGAAAGCGGAAATCCGCGACAAATTTAAAAAGGCAGATAAGAAAAGGCTATTTTTGCGCGAGAGCAGAAAGCAATAAATTTTTGAAATAAGGGATCTGCATATTAATCGATGCATTAAGGTTTTGAAATTTTCTTCCAGCGGGTGGAATAACGGCATCCTGTCTAATTCTGTGCCTGGGTGCTTCATGGTAATGAGGGTACGCTCTAGCCCTGCGGCCTGACAGCCCAGCCCTGTACATGCTTTCTTTCTCTGAACAGTCAAACTATGAGTATTAGAAATTTTTAACATCCACTCTTGGCACGTCTAAATTTTATTTCTCCTGTAAAATTCATACTATGAATAAATTGTGATTGTCTTTATAACTGGAAATAGAGGAAGTTGAAAAAGCGTGGTTACTGTAAATTTCCAATTTGTACAAGCGGCTGTGGCCTGTCATGCTAACAAGGTTTGGAAATTACCTGACTGAAATAGTTACAATACAATTACTCTGCCACTTCCGCAATGGGGAAAAACAGGATATGGAAAAAAATATTGTTAACTTAATAAATCATGGTATGTTTGCAAGTATTTAGTAAATGTCTGTGACCTGATAATTAGGTGATAATTAAGTAAACGATTCGAACTTAATTTTGCTGGGGAATTGAAATGACGCACGCATCGATCCAGCCAGCTGGTCACATCGTTTGTTTTGTAAAGACGACAAACCTTACAAATTTTAGGATCGTACAGTTTTCCTACTTGCAGTTTGACAAAGTAACAAACAGCGAAAGGCTCTGCCTAAACACCTGCATGGCTCCCAGACAGATGTTAAATACACCGATATAGAAAGGAAGCTAATATATTTAACAAGAGTATCCTCTCAAAACCACTGATTGTTAAATGGAAGGTAGGGAGTAGACAGGTGAGAGGGACATTTTATATAGGAGCAGTCAAAGAAACTAGATTTAGCGTAAGCAAAAACAGGTTTTGTGATTATGCATGTGAAAGCGACCGTTGGCTTTAGTTTTTTACATTCAGAAGCAAACGATGTTCAAGCCACAAATGTTCCGGTGCGGTAACAAACTCCTCATTTTTTCTGAAGTAGAAGTGCTGCTATAAATTGCGAAAGTGCGCGGTGAGGTTCTCGCTGATTCCGGTCTTGTTACAAACACTTAAGTAGCCACACACAGAGTTGTTCCTGTTCTGTAATATGGCATTTTCAGCACTCATACTTCGTATTTCCATCCCGTTGTCACTAAAGGAATGCTTGGGCAATTAGAATCTTAAAATTATAAGAGAATACGAGCGGGATCTTGTGTCTCAACGACTTTGATCATCATTTACTGTAGTGAGGAGAGCCCGCACAAAATCGAATGTGTCTATTGCTTAGGGTTTGAATGTATGTCAGTCAAACTTTTATTTCAGACGCTACTCATTCACAGCTTTCCACATTTGAATGTTTGTGACCACACTCTTGTCTCTTACCAATATGTCTGAAATGTTACAGCTACTTCACGCTAAGTGTAATTAACGGTAATGAAAGCTATTTACCGACTTACATCAGTTTCACATCCCACTTATTCCTTAGCTCATAATTACTATCTACAACATACAACCATGTGTTGGTTTAGCTTTGTTTGATCTGCACTCTCCGGTGAAAACTACTCAGACCAAGGAAAATCGATAAAACAAAAGTAAGATAGCATGGGAAAGTCCATCTCAGTGGCGCAACTTTCAGGTCCATCCATAGATTAAAAAAGAAAAACTTTAAAATCCTCCGACTTGTACATGCTCAGCGCAATAAGCAGCACCTTTGTCAGGAAAGACAACATTGCAACCAACAACGCATGCTGTTCCTTTTCAATAACGCAAATAGATTTGAATGATTTTTAAGCCACAAGAAGCAGTTTTTAAAACTGAATTAAACTATGGTATTGGCCATGAAAGGAATTAACTAGGTAGCGTGAGCCTTTTTAACGTTATTGCCTACACGAATGGCGTACTTCCTGCCCGAACCTCCGTACTCCATGATAACGAGGCAGGCTCCCGTGTGACCGTCAGTGAACTGAAGCGAGATCAGTGCCGCCTAAAGCAATGACGAAACAGCCATTTAGCCGTGTTTCCGATAGTCAATATGTCTGCGAATTACAATAGTTTCAACAAAACCACGATTCTAGGAATTTACTAGAACCACTTTTGCGTCATTCAGGTTGTTTGCACGCGAAACATGGAATACAAGACAGAAACGGTGTCATGCTGTTAATACAGGCACCTGTTACTCAGATTCGCTTGTTGTAATGCCAAGTAACTACTGAAGAGCTTAAATTTGTGTCTGATGGTATATATAGTTAATTGCATGAATACCTCGTCTGACCAATAAATTATGACACCATGACACTTAATTGTTTGAATGCTACATTGGCAGTATCGCCGTTCAATAGATCCAATCAAGAGTATTACAAAGTGCGGCAATTATCTCTTCGAAAGGTATTGCAAAGCACATAACGAAGTTGATGTCTTGATTAATTCATTTATTTCTAACGATTGTATCTAACTTAAAATAGTCAAGATGTTCAGAATTAAATTTTGAAGCAATGCCGAGAAACAAATAATAAAACAAGATTTAATTACTCATTTAACGTATATTTAACGCCAGCTCTTTAGGTCAGCGTTTTAATTTTTTGCGTTTGTTTTCCCGCATAGACGCAGTTGGGTCAGTAGTATGGGTTCTGTGGTCAAACTTAAGGATTCTATAAAGAACCACGTTTCACGGTTTGATTTAAAAGGAAGTGGGAGTATTTAAGTCCTTAATACTGAAGTTACTTAAGAGAAAAAACAAAGCGGTATTTGTGGTATTATGCTGATGAAGCCTTAGAGCAGACAACATGGCTCGGAGTACACGAACCAAGAAGATAACACTAACCGCTATGCCATAGCCAGCATAATTGAAAAGACTCAAAAATTGCAAGCTATGTATTGATTTAACCTTAATAGCTTCCTTGGGGCTGACTTAAAGCATGCTGAGGATATCAGCCTCAGCTGACTTCAATTACAGAGCGTTTGTCCATAGGACGTACCTAGTCAGCCAGGCGCCAGTGACTTAGCTGCGAAACTACTCGAGAGGGATTACTCTTTTCATTTACAACGGTCTAATGGTTAATATTGATTATTAAAGATATACTGTCCTTGGATCACGTATAATAAACCTCTCCACAAAGAAGCACGGTCAGATATTGTCGATTGACGTTACTGAGTCGAGGCGGGATTGCCTTGTTTCCCTTCCAGCCGATTTGTATTTGTGCACCGGTTTACTGAGTAGCGGGGACTAGAGTAGATTTGGATCATATGTAAGTAGAGGATCAGGGAAAACCGCCATCCAATTTGATAAGAACGATGATAATAGCCTTGGTGACGCTCGGCCTGAATGATATCTATATTCTTGATATCCTTTAATAACACAAGAGTCCAATCACAAAGAATCATGTAAAATTCCAAAGAAACACCGCCACTTTTCATCTTATAATGTTAATTAACTGCATTCTAACAAACCTCACCCTGGCATATTAATCATTTTCCGTCTATTTTGTCAGAGGAGTCTGCCTGACTAAAGCACTTGACAGAAGACACAGAGCAAAACGCATCTCCGTTCTCGTGTTTGAAATACACCTCAAAAAGGTTAGTACACCTCAAGTCCAGTTATCTTTCTCCCTTAAGCAAAACCGATGTTTAGATTTTCAACGTTGAGAAACGATTTTCAGAACTATAAACTAGTAAAATAACACGAATTATACGGACAGTTTGGAAACTACGAGTTGAAGTCAGTTTTCATGAGTCAGTCAATTAAGTGATCAATTTGACTCTGTCCTGAAAACTGCCAAGAAACTAGACTAGTAACGACATAAGAATAAGTAGGCTAAGGAAAGCTCATGACGTTAAAACAACAATTTTTAGATGGACGATGCCCAGATACGAAGTGTACCCACCCACGTGCACACAAATCTTTTTACAGTAACAGTTTATTCAGCCTCTTTAAGGGCAGAAGACTTACTCACCTTTTAGCTGATAGAGAGCCGAGACTTCTCCAGAAAACAGAAATTTCAACTCAAGGAGGAAATCACTGAAATAAAAAAAGAATATGGTTTTCTGCTTAAATGATCCTTAAGACATGTCTTGATTAATGTTGATTAGGTCCATTTATTAAATTCTCCTGAACGGAACAACAGCAGAAACGAAAGAGTCAAATGAGATTTCATAACATATATCAATGTTAAAGTAACGTTTATTGTTGAGGACTAAGAAATATTTCCTCTCTTCAGTAAAGTATTTTGTACACAAGACTAACCAACAAACCCTTGAGAAATTTAGTTTTTTTATGTGTAGCAAGCTTGTATAGTGTAGCCCGTTAGAAACTGCCGAGGCACGTATTTTATTTGTTTGTGCCAAAGGATCAAGAGTTCAACCAAAAACAAACAATTTTATCCAAGGAAAATCAAAAGCTTTTTGGTAAAACCTGTAATTCAATAATCAGCATTATAAAGATAGAATGTATTAATGGGCTCAGTGCTTTTAAACGGCTAGCTTTAGCTGAAAAGCGGATCAGTATGCTTGAGCCACTTGAAGATAAACAAAAGTTGAAATTCTTAGCATGCTGTTTTTTTTAACGAGCTTTCCTTCGGTTTTCGTCTGTTGAATTTACAGCTGAAAAAAGTTGACTGAAGAGTGCAAACAATGACATCCCGCAGAGAAAACAAGCATGTTTACAATGCCACTAAAACGAGCGAGAAAACGGCGTTTATCTAAGTAAATATCTTGTTAACGGAGATTAGCACGCAATTTGATGAAGTCGAGTTGAAATCATTAACGTACCGCAATTAGTC